AATAAATTATGATTTAGTTTTACTTTTTTATTGGTTGGTCCAGAACGTCGATTGGACCAACACAAAGAAAGTGAGCGCGGCCACCTAGAACAAGACAGAAGAAGAAGATGGCGTCGGTGGAGTCGAGACTGAAGCTGGTCGAGCAGGTGGAGTTCAAGGGCGCTTTCACTGATGACGAGTTTGCGTCCTACCGCAACCTCTTCCTGGTACCCCCTCGCTCGCCCCCCCCCCCACCCTCGCTCTTTTCGTCCCACTTCTTCTCTTTCGCTCTTTTTGACTCGCCCACAAAACAAAGAAATACGACGCCAACAAGACGCTGGCGCTCGAGCTGTTCGAGCTGCACCAGATGTACGAGGACATGGGCGAGACCAAGACCAACCTGCAGCTGCGCCAGCTCATCCGCGACGCCAACCCCGACACCTCCTCCGCCGACGGCATCGACTACAAGTACGCACCCCCCACCCACCCGCCCACCCCGCCCACTCCACCTCGCCTCCCACGAGTCTTTCTCTGACCCCCTTTCTCTCGTGGGCGGGCGCAGGGCGTTCTTGACGGTTCTGTTGAAGGACAAGAAGGGCCAGACCAGGTCGGCCCTCGGCGGCCTGTTCGTGCAGCTCCTCAAGCCCGTCGAGGCCAAGCAGGTACCTGCTGGTGCAAACAAATGCATCAACCCCCACTCGAGAATACCAGAGGTAACGCGTTCGTCTCACGATGTGTCGTGCGTCGTGTGTGTCGTGCGTGTTGCACACAACAGCACACGTCGGCCATCGGCAAGTTCGCCAACGTCTTCGAGCAGCAAGCCGCCCAGCAGACCAACGTACGTAGTCGTCGACGTCTTCATGGGTGGTGGCTGATGGCGACTGACCTGCGTGTGGCCACGACGGTGAGCAGGACACGATCTCGGAGCAGAACATCAAGATGCAGAGGGACGCGCGGAGGGAGCAGGAGAACCGCAAGCGGGAGGCCCTGGCCAAGCTCAAGGCCGAGGAAGAGGAGAAGGCCCGGCTGGAGGCGGAGAGGAAGGCCCGCGTGCAGGCCGGTCTCGCCAAGCTCAAGGCCAACATCAACGCCTCCTGATGTGCGCGTTTTCTGCAGCTGACAATGCAACCTGCATCACCTTGTACAACACGGGAAGAGCGAAGCTAAGGGGTAACCCCGTTTATCTGTGGATTGACTGAGCTTTGCCTTCGGCGTACCCCGCCCATCTCCGATCAGAGCATGGAGCTGGCCGTGCCCCCTACCGTCAAGACTGGCCTGAGCGCCGCCTACTGCGACTTCTGGGACAACCTGGGCTACTCCTTCGGAAATTGGGGCATCACGAGGCCGCTGTCACTCTCGAGTGGACGACCGATCTTGACCAGGGTCATTAGCACGATGGAACCGACGAGCGCAACCACGCCAGACGCCAAAGGCGAGAGCCACGCAGGCGGTTACGACCTGGTACGGCGCCAACGGCTTGTCCGGCTGCGTCAGGCCGAAGATGACGACCAGTGAGGCCCACATGACCCCCGTCAGGAAGAAGAGGAAGGCGGCGGTTCCGAGGGCGTTGGCCCAGTGAAGTAGAGTCACGGTAACCCTGTCCGAAGTGGAATCGGGCGTGACGCCAACGCTCACGAACGTGGATGCCGCCAGTACGGTGAGTACTGTGATGAGGAGTCCGAGCGCATGTGTGCGCTGCTTCCACTGCGACATTAGTAGTGGTCTTGCGGTCTGTGGTTTGTTCCTTTCGTTTGGATCAGGACGGCGGTTTTAAAAACCTTGGTGGCCCAGGCTGTGCAGTGAAAAGGCACTCTCCCCACTGACCTGTGGAGTTCATGGGAAGTACCCTCCAGCCACATTGGACATTAGCATGCGCAGTATTTCCCACTGATTACAAACAGTCTCAAAGGACCATTTGGCATTTCAACGTTGGATAACAGACTCACATGGTGGAGGGAAACGAAAGAGCAACTTTGCGTTCATTTGGGTGTCAATGAGGAAGAGGAGGAGGAGAGGTGCTGCTTGACGTACCGTCGCAGCAGTTGGTGTCCCTGCTCGGTCACAAAAAGGAATCGCTTGGCGGCGTCCGAGTAAAGGAGAGCGCCCACGTCCCGGGCGTACTTTTCCGCCTTCTTGAACGCCGCCACTGCCCCATCACAACACCACGAGTCAGACATTGTCAGTGTCGCGTAGCGCTGTGTTCGAGAGGGCAAGGAGGGAAAGGAGCGCGTACGCGAAGCGAAATCGTCGTAGAAGTAGCCCGGGCTGAGGGACAGGCGTCGGTCCTCGGCTTCCCATAATCGCAGCTGGTCGGCTATCGACTCTGGAATGATGGGCGTGTTCTGCTTCATCTGTGGATGCGCGTTCGTCTCGAGAAACTGCGCAACACACAACGCGCAACGCGCAACACACGACACATGCACACACGGTGAGCGGAGGGCATTGACGAAAATGAGTCCCCCACAAGCAGGGAGGCGCACCTGCAGGATCTGATTGGCGGAGATGCCGACCTGCACGGCCTGTCGGATGTTTTCGCGAAGCAGGATGCCCATGACCATGTTGGGCAGCTGGTACTCGATCTGGGTGAACAGGCTCAGCAGGAGCAGCTTCACCTACGGGTGCGTGCGTGAGTGTGGCATGGGTGGAGCCAACGTCTTGGTAAGCACCGTGGTACTGCGTGTGCTAGTTGGAGGGTGGCGAGGGTCATCGTACGGGGCTGGAGGTGTAGGCGTAGATGCGGTAGTCGGTGCCGACGATGATCCAACCCTCTTGGTCCCGCTTCGCCGCTTCGGTTGACGAGAGGCCGATGGCCAGTTGCGTCGGGTAGAGCCATTTCGAGTCCCTGTGCGTCACTGTTTCTTCAGCGACACACACACACACACACACACACGAACAACAAAGCGGAGCGCACCTGTGCTTGCGATAGATGATGCCCAGGTCCTGCAGGTCCTGGAGCAGCCCGGACTCGGAGAACGCAAGGTCGTCCATTTGGTAGCCCTGCGGGGCCGCAACAGGACTGTTGTTACAGGTCTAGACCTGGTCCCGCACCTTGCAGGCGCCTAGGGGAGGTACCTCGCCGACGGTGAGAAAGCTGAGGCGGAAGAGGAAGGAGAGAACGTCGTGGACGTTGGCCTTCTCCTCCTGCAGGGACCGCAGGTAGAGGAGCAGCAGGATCCAGACCTGCGTGCGCAGGTCCTTCAGCAGGAACGGGAAGCCCTTGTCTGCGATGCGAATCGACTGGTCCTCCCTGAGTGCGCACGAGCGTGAGCGCGTGCGTGCGAGCGCGTGCGTGCGTGTGCGTGCGTGCAAGAGATGGAGCCGTACTCGTGTACCACCATGAACTCCCCGCGGGTCAGGAGAGACACGACTCGGTCGGACGGCGGTTGGATGACGGTGGAGCCCATGATGAACAGGAAGATGGTGTCCCAGCACGACGTGGTGAACGCGGCCAGCTCCTCCCT